GTAGTGTAGTAGATGTGGATGAAAACAGGACTGAGAGAATGAAGGACGCTGCAGAGAGAGGTTGAATGAGATCAGAGATCAGTGCGAGTGTGTCGGGGTCTCAGCAGACAAACAGAGGCAGCTGTTAATCCAACAGCTGCTGCTGGTCACGCTTCTTTACTCTGAGAGGCCCTGCTCAGTGGGCTCAGTGTGTGTGTGTGTGTGTGTGTGTGTGTGTGTGAAGAAGTGGTGGAGGGAAAAGAAAGAAAGAAAACATTCACCCAGCTTTGTTAACATTCACTCCACTGTTCTATTAACCTCCTCACCCTCTGCCCAGCACAGACCTGCTGAAACACACTATAACAAGACCTGAGGGTGTGATGGTTCTAGTTGTTTGTGGGATTTAATCTTTTTTGAGGATGAAAACCTTCCTTTTCTGGCATTGTTATAGCTGTAACCTTAGTTACTGTACACATTATATTTTTGGGTTACTTAAATGTCATACTTAAAACTGTACAGTACACTGTGGAAAGAGTTATGTTCCAGTAGGAGTAAATTTGACATTATTATCAATAGTAGCACTTAACAATCTTTTTTTTTTTTTGTATAAAATTCAAGTTGCTATTTTATTCTCCCTTGGTTCAGAGCAGACTTATTGTGGTTCCTACATGCCGTTGTTTCTGGGGGACAGGGAAGTGTGTTACAGACAGAGAGAGTAACATGCAGCAACAAAGTGCAGTTGTGTGTGTTATTTCAGGCCATCTTGGTGTTGAATTAAAGAAGATATGAAAGTGTAGGCTCTTATTACTCACAGGCCCAAAGGACAGGACAACACTGCCAACCTAACTTAAGATTAATGTTTGATATGTCATGTGTTTTTAAGGATGGCAATGTTGGTCAGTCCACCAATTTATGCCGGACTAAAATATCTCAGCAACTATTGGATGAAATGCCGCTACATTTTTAGGCATTCACGGTACCCAGTGGATGAATCCAAATGACTTTGTTGATCCTCTGATTTCATGTAGTGTCACCAGTAGGTCACAGTCTTCACTTATGCAGGAAAATACCTCAACATCTACTGGATGGATTGGTACAAAATGTTGTACAGACATTTGTAGTTCTTAGAGGATGAATCTTAATAACTTTGGTTATCAGATCCAAACCTCCAAAATGACTCCTAGAGTTTAGCCTTGAGTTAACTAATTTCCTGGAGGGCAATTCGTTTCTCCAGGACTAATGAAAGCTTAAAATGAACCTCAAAAGGTGCCAGGCTTAACATGAAATGAATAGTGTCTGTCTTGTTCAAAGTTTTCAAATAATCCAGGGAAATACTGCACCTCAACATCTGATAGATGGTCTGGCATAAAATTTGGTATAAATTCATGTTTCCCTCCGTGTTCCTGACTCTTCCTCTAGCACCACTGTGAGGTTGACATTTTAGGTTTTGTGCGAAATGTCTTGACATCTATTTGATGGATTGTCATGACAGTTTGGTACAGAAAGTCATGTTCCCCAGAGAATGAATCCTACTGACTTTGGCGATCCACTGACTTCTTACCTAGTTGCATCGTCAGGTGAAAACCTACAAAACTAGTCCTAGATTTAGCCTTGTCTTGAATTAACTGAGTTAATTCAAGAGTTTTCCAGCATTAAGTAAGGATTAAATTGAATTTAACTTAAGTTTAATGTTGTCTGTCTTGTTTGGACAATTTCAGTGACAACAACCACCACCAGTAAGACAAATAATGTTTGACGCTAAGTAAGTTTAATGAAATCCAGTTTGCGGAACAATTTTTGCATGTGAAAATGCAGAGCTTAGTGTTAGAACCCAGATTTTTGTGAGTATCAAATATGTAACAAAAACAGCCTTTTTCCCCTTTTATCCAATCATGTTAAGGTCCTTTTATACTTCTCAGACTCCACAGAATCATGTGCTTTTTGTGATCTGTTCCAGCTCGTTTGAGATTATGCTGTGTGTACTTATCCTCGCTAATGTAACTACAGCCAGCAGCCAATTATTACAAAATCCACCTACCAGCACCTCTAAAGCTTATTAATTAACATGTTATATCTTGTTAGTCCAATCGAAAAACAAAGCATAAAAATGACACAATGTGGTTTTTAGGCATATTTTGACACCTACAGACAAAGGCAGGCTAGCAGTTTCCCCATGTTTGGTTTCACAAGTGTCAGTCTGATATCAATCTTCTCATCTAACTCTCTGCAAGAAAGGGAAAAAGCATATTAAAGTCCTGGTTTGATTTATACTATGACCGGGACACCAACACTTAATGTTCAGGCTAGTTATATGAAGATATGACTCATGAATGCCACAAGAAAAGTCTGAGCAGGTTTCAGGGTTTTTGATCTATAAGTCATACTTCCTCTATGATGAAAAACCAGCTAAGCAGAAGAGAAGAGCAACAACAGGATGTCTCAGAGTTATCTGGACCAATAACAGTGAGGCCTACGTGTTTGAAAAAAAGCACGCTAAAGACAACATACAACAGGCGACTAAAATATATTTTTGTCTACTCTGCAATCTCAGCGGGGGGAAATGAAATCATCTCAGCCTACAGAGGATGGTCAGAAAGCAGAAAGAGAAAAAAAAACTTCATTGAAAGTTTCTAATCCTCAATAACATTAAATAAGGAAGTTCACCTCACAAAACCACAACCCCCCCACCCCACCCATCCTTTTAAACCACAGTGTTATGCTTCGTGTTTCACCGCCCTATGACAGGTTGTTATTACCTTGTTTTGGAGGCTTGTTTGTCAGTTTCTGTCATTGTCAACGGGGCAGAGCAAACAGTGCTTTAAAGGTGACACCCAGGCTGGAGGTTTGTGTGAGGGCACCTTTGATCGGCCCTGCAGCTGCCTGCAGGACCCCGGGGTGGGGTATGAAAAAAGGCCAGGCTGGGGTAAAGAGGTGGATTCACAAAGGATATATGGTGATAGGAAGGGTGGGGTAATTCTCTGCAGGGTGTTGGTGAGATGCCTGAGAAGTCAGTTTTCACTTAATGCTATAATGACTGACAGGAAGACCGATGTATTTGTATTTCATTGTGTATTTCCAAGTTTACAGACAGTCCTCACTGCTAACAATCATCTAAACCACTGATACTGTTTTTTGCTAGTGAGCCCTTATCACAGGTTGTCTAGCAGTTATGAACAGAAAGGGATTTGTCCTTTTTAAACTGGTTTATATGAATGTTTATAAACCCAAGGAGGTCAAATTAAACCATATTAATGCATGTATGTTATCATTTGGAAGTGTTCTGTACTGATTTAAGTCTTTTAAAAGCTACATTATCTAACTGCATAACATAACAAGCAAACTCCAAAAGCACACATTGTTAATCTTATAAAAAAACTTCCAGGTTCTGGAAAATGTTAAGTTCCCTTTTGTAGTTGCCTCCAGCTCCTAATTGGATGGGTCCAGTTGTAAAATCGGGCTTGCTTTTCTTTAAGGGGACATGCCAAGGACTCATCTACATCTTTAAAAACCAACAATTGAAGTGGAAAATGAAGCTCGTCTTGAAAGGCCCTCGCAAGTGTTGCATTATGTATGCCACATGTAAGGGTGCGAGGCCCCTTAAACCTTAGCAACTGGCCAATTAATCCCTTGCTCAGACAAGGAGGCTGCGTGATATGAATGGAACAGATCAATTGACGGTCATGCACACTGAAACAAAAGTGTTTTGCAGAGTTTCTTCCAATCTACATTTCACTATCCTGCCAACACTTATTTCCAGTGTTTAAGAATTAAAGCATCTTCTGTTCAGTTAGTTGCACAAGACAACCAACAGACACAAGTTTCAGCGAGAAACTGTTGGCTGTAAATTAGACTTCAGACTCCAATCGGTGGAATGCAAACAAAGGCTTGCCCTCCCTTTCCCATACCCACATGGCCGCTGGGAAACTGCCTGATTTCAAACTTTGTAAAAGCGCCAGAAGGGAGGGAGCTGTGCTATTATAAACTCGCCATCAGATCGTCACGTGTTTACAGCACATGGTGGCTGATTTTTTCAACTGTTAACCTCCTGTCAGGACACGTCAGGGCGACGGCTGGCTGCCAGGCGCTGCCCCCTCTGAAGACACTCCCCTCTGCATACAGGAATGTGCCTGAGCACGTGCTGCAGCCGAGGGACCACTCCCAAGGCGGGCTAGAGGGGGAGAGAATTTGAAAAAACAGGAACTGCCCTGCGTGCAGGAAAACCTGCGTCCCCGCCACGTGCAGAAGAACAAACCAAACGGAAAGTGTGCAATTCTTAGGATTCAGTCCTGTTAGCACATGGGTCAACTTTCAAACCTAAAGGAGGGCCTTAAATCAGGAACATGGACTTATATGTAAAGTTCAGCTGCATCTAACGATCATTTTTATTAAATTCTTAGTCCAGACATCAGAAAAACAGTGAAAAGGGGTCCCAAAACGACAAAACTGCTTGTTCAAGGTTCATACAGTTTGTTTTATAACAAACCAAAACCCAAAGATACTGCATTTACAGTGATAGAAGACAGAAGAGTGTTGTTGGAGAAGCTGGAACTAGGGGTTTGCCATTTTTTGTGAATAAATTCAATCAAAAGGTGTTGGATTAACCTTGTCAAACAACTTATTTTAAATAACTAAAAAATAAAAAGCCATGCTATAGGACTGTGGCCATGATTACAATTCAACACACTCACTAGTTTCATGTGAGGAGTACATTGAGATTTCAGTCATTTATAAAAGATTGTGATATCACTGACGGGTGTAGTGTTGTATAATTTGACTTCACACATAGAGCAAATGTTAAGAATTGAATTAAAGAATTTTAGCAAAAAGCGTGGATGCTATGGACATTGTTTCATTGTGGGGATTTGAGGGTGCGCTATGTAGTGGTCATGTTTTGCACTGCAAATACATAAGACTTAAAATGCCAAAGTAACTGTAGTGCAACTCTGTAAGCTTATCCAATTAACTAAGTACATTTCTTGCCCCTGAGACAGGATTAAAAGTCACATTAAAAAACCCAACTGTACATCACATTAGAACACACTGGCTCTTTATTTCAGCAGCTCCCTCACAAGCCTGTACCAAAATACTCAAATCACCCTTTTCATTATAAACTGACATCATTAGCGCTGCAGAGTGGAAGACATTCTCTCTCAAAATAAAAGAATCAAAGCAACACAACGAATATGTTTCTCTTAGATCAAAAATCCTCACCTCACACTTGCTGACCTGCAGCATTAGAATCTAATCTCACTGCAAAGATAACAGGTAGGTTGGTTTGCTTTGGTATCTTCTGACTGAGAAATAAAAGTTACCAAGTATTGCAACTGATCAGAAAGGAGGGGGTTAAAAAAAAAATAACCGCACTCGGCATTAATGTTATATACTTATCCAATTAGCATTTTGGGATGCCTAAAGAAAGGCATACTTTCAACAAAACAAAATGTAAATGGGGTAAAACACAATTCATTAAAAAAAAAAAAAAAAAAAAAAAAAAAAAAGCACCTCACCATTTCAAGGTATTTAAATTAAGTGCTTCAATAAAAGGTGGGACAAATGCAAAATAAAAGACAAATATATCCGTGGAGACTGAAAGACAAACATCAGACTTGGCAGTGTGGTTTGTTTGTATTATTGCAATCTGGCAGTGATTTGCGCTGCAAATGCCAGCATAATAAAAAATAAAATGGTAAAAGAGGCAGTAGGTCCAAGTGGTTTTTAAAAAATTATCACATTGCTAAACATCACCTTAATGAAATCTGCTCCCTGCACCTCAGCAACTCCTTTAGGTCAAGCGTTCATTATTTCACCTCTTTGAATTTGCATAAATAACTAACTTTAATATAGTCAAATGAAACTTTTAGAGACTTTATAAAATTCCCTTCTGCTGGCACATTCCCAAAAGGTTTTTCACCGTTGGTGGGGTGAGGCCTCAGGCTCTGAGGAGTCTGTTCAGGGGGAGGTGGTGTGTTTTAGAGGCAGTTTAAGGGGACGAGGTGGTTCTCACAGCTTCTTCAGTCGGCTGTACATGTCTCTCTTGCTACGCTCCCCAGCCCAGGTACGACTTTTGAGGCGAAACTTCCTCAGGTCCTCCTTGAAGTCCTCGTGGTGCATGGGCCGGTAGGACTGAGGCTCACATTGAGACTGTGCAGGAAGAGAACAATACGAGTTCAAAGTACTGAAAAGCCATCAAGGGATTCAGTTGACCATTACTATGTGGAAGAATTGCTCACTAAATGTTCAACCATTAAAAAGGCAGCTTGAGACCATGAGAAAATAAACTCTTCATGTGTAACAAAAATCCTCACAGCCCACTTTTGAGCTTTCAGATCATGAAGTTGTGCTAAGAAAAAGCTAGTAAGGGGACCTTGACATGGTTATTTTGTTAAATAAAAAAAGATGATCGAAACACACTACCAGAAACATGTGGTTGTTTGCAAAACAAACCTGGAAATGAGGGAAGAAGTCTTTGTATCCGCCCTTGAGGATGTAGAGTTCGGGGTAGTGGAGTGCAGGATACTCGTTCATGGCACGGTCCCGCTCCCTGACGAAGCGACACATTCGAGGGCCGCGCTCCGACGAGAACTCGCAGTGGAAGATGATGACGACACGTTTGTCCGGGCAGGATGGGATGATGGGCATTTTGAGGAGGAAATCCTCCACCTGATCCTCCTGGTGCAGGTTCAGAGCTCCCTGAGATGACAAAGGAGAACATAAAACACTAAAATTAAAAAAAATGTACAGGAACTGCCCCAGAGGCATTAATGCAGAATGCTTTTTACTTGTGACAAAACTCTAAAAATGATGCCAGATATACAGACTAAACGACAGGAACTGGTTCAATGGAACACATGCAAATCCTTCATTCTGGAAATTAGCAATAGTCGAAAAAAAAAAAAAAAAAGTTTTGTAAAAATGTTTTTGGGGGATTCTCGCTCACCTTGATGTGTCCTCCCTCAAACTCGTAGGGGTAGCGGCAGTCGAGGACAATTACTTTCTCGACTAGCTGATTAAACTGGCCGGACACAGCTGCCACCATCTGAGAACCGCACAGAACACAAATATGAGATTTTGAAACTTCAGCAATAACTAAAAACACTAAATGTTTGTTGCTTTCTCCTGCTGTGTATGCATCAAAAATGGAGCAAAGTGTCTGCTCACCGTCTCTGAGGTAATGTACTTGAGGTCTTGATGTTTGCCATCCACTGTAGGTAGTATAAAAGGCTAAAAGACAAAAGAAAGAAATTGGATTAGAAGAGTAATTTCACACAATTATAGTTATTAGCGTAAGAAACAAAGCAGTCTTCCTTACCTTGGTGAAATCTCCTATAAGTTCACTGGAACTGTTATCAGCGTCGAACAGCTTCGCAATCTCTGTCTGGCAGAAGGACTTGGACCTCTGGAGCAGTGAACAGCTCTGGAAGGAGAGGAGATTTAAGCAGGCAGTCGAGGAGAAAACATGTTAATTTGAGATGGTCTGTAAAACCAGTGACAATAGAGAGTCTGCTTCAGCAGATGTTTCAGAAGCCATTTCTCCACCTCCACTGAAGAGGTAAAAGATGGTCAGTGGATACTGGTTCTTAACCATGTAGGTTTATCCTACAAACAGGCTTGTTCTTTAGCCTCAACCGATCACCATCTGGATTTAAATGAAAATCGATCACCACACCAATAATCAACTGCCCAAGTGCGATTCACTCAAGGAGGATCTTTTCCAACTTATCTGCTTCAAACACTTGGGCTTGACTGGAACACCTTTCTTGAGAAAGTTTTTAATCAAGGACTTTGACATGATCAATATGTATTGGGCTCCATTTACAGACAATACTATTTAACTAATCTCTGCTCATTAAAGACCAAATTTAGGCATGTACATGCTTCTCACTTTATTCAAAGGACAATGAGAGATCTTCTACTAGTTAATGTGGTCTCATTTCTTACACAAATTGCATCAGGTACAACAATGACGTTGACTGATTGGTGTATCAGACAATGAGGACTCACCGTTCTTGGTGATTCAGGGTTTTGTTCCAGGGTGGTGACCTGTGTTCCTGCCAGGCTGCGTCGCCTCTTCACCCTGACAGGCGTGTTGTCGTCTCCGGGGCAGTCTGGACGCTTTGCAGAGGGACGGGACACTGGACTGGGCATGGAAGGGGAGCGGAACAGACTCCGCGGCCGGCAGCGAATGATAGGCTGAAGGAGATAAAAATTATCAAACTCAATACACCTTCACATCTTACATTTTGTGAGCTCATTATGAGCTGCTGATTAATATTTCTATCAGCCAAGCAGGAATTTTGTTTCAGTACACACTTGCTATAACTGAAAGAAAGTCTACATGAACTGTCCACTTTTGTAGATTTTCACTGCACATTGTTATTGCTGCTGAAGTCTCAGTATTTCAATTTACCACAAAGCTTACATTTCATAATAGATAAACTTACAGAGTCTTCCATTGTGCTGTCGGCCACCAGTGGGGCAGTGAGCAAGCTGGCCATTCCCATCGGCATCCCAGAGTCGTTCTGTTAGTGAACAAAAGGGTGGTCTGTCAGACAAATACAGTGAAAAAGGACAGATACCAACAACCATGTGGATCTTTCAATTAAGTGTCATTTCTGTTGTTCCTCAAAAAGGGGTTTTGAGATCTTTTACTGGCAGACAATCTGTAATGGCATCCATTCAACAAATACATAATTGTCATAGATATCAGTGCAATTGAAAGGCCCTCACCTCCATGTTGTCATCCAGTACGTCCAGGAAGCCATCATCTTCATCGTCGTTTAGAGATGAAGTGAGGGAGGAACGTCTCAGGAACATGGGGCTGGAGTCAAAAAACTCAAGCTGCTGGACTGGAGGTGGTGAAGAAAACTGCAAGAGGGAAACGTAGTGTGTTAGCACCTTTCTAGAACCAGGTCACACTGTGCAAGAAGATAGATCCTGAATAACCGTGATTTCAGTTTGTGCACTTTACACTTGCTTTGTCAATGTAACATAACATGTCTGTTTCCCATGCCAGTAAAGCCATATTTAATTGAAAAATAGTGTTCTGATTCTACACATGTTCACATACCATGAGGGCTGGTGCTGAGCTGGGACGGCGGGCAAAGCCGTCCTTTGACTGTCCGCTGGTGAAGGAGCGCACACGACACCGTGATGCTGGTTTTGTTGGTTTCTTGAATTCAAAGCTTTCCTGAATATTAAAACAAAAAAAAAAACGTTTAAGACTGAATCAATGCCCTTTTTAGGAGGAGCATTTCACAGAGATTAACAGTTTCTAATTTACAGATAATGCCAACTTCCCCAACTGTACTAACTCAATGGCTACAGTTACTAATCTGTTCCTGAGCTATAGACTATTATTCTGCAGGCATATCTATACAAAATATAAATCTCCCTTGAAACACCTGACATTGGAACCAATATTATTGTAATAAATGAGTGTCAAAATCCTAAGATTGGCCAAAATTTGAAGCCAAATAATAAAATGCTTTGTCATGGAAACAAATCAGCTTTCTAAGCATTAAAGTTCTAGGATGCACCGTTTCAAACCAGCCAGCAGTCCACTGAACAATGCATGTTCTCTTGGAGATTTGTGTTCTAGCAAAGACAAACTGCATCACTGACCTCCGGCATGTTCTCCTTGTTGTCATGTTGAGAGGTTGAAGAGGCCATTTGGCAGGGTTGTTGGCCGAATATTCCGTAGCGGTGAGAATCTGTTTCCTGTCCCTTCAGTGATGGGCTGAAACTCTGGAGATGGAGCTGAAGGGGATAGAAGAGGGAACTGGTTAGCAGAGGCCAGACAACTGTAAACGAGTGATCCTGTGGTAGTTTTACACTGGATGATGTTTTGAACTTTGAGAAAATCTTGTTCCCCAACCCCAGCTGAGAGTTTGAGGTTTCTTATTGTGAGACTTAAAAGCCAGATGTTTTTAAAGACTCCCCTTTGATTTCCTCCCATTCTCCTGTCCCCTGTGTGTTTTATAATCTTTACTTTAAACATTTCTGGAGGAATATTTTGAGATGGCATTATTAGTGTTTTATAATGTGTTCAACAGCCAAGTCAAGTCTACAACAGGCCAAATTCTCACAGCATCCGTCAGCCATGATCAGCCAAATTTTTGTCTACATAATACATTCAGGGTTGTAAAACAAAAAAAGGACAAATCTGCTTACTGGCAATGAGTTGATTCTTCGAATTGGCATCTTTCTGTATTTGACAAAAGAGGGGAAGAAATTAAAGTCATTACAAATCAAAAACAGGCAGTTTTAGTTTCAGGAGTAAAATACTCCTTGGAGTGTAATATTGCTTAAATAATGAGGACATAAAAACCAGACACCAGTTATTGACTAGAAGCAACTTACTCGTTGACAATTCTGCTTGACTGTTGAATGGCCTTTTCAAATCTGTAACACCACATGAGAAGTTGTTCAAAATTTGAAATCTAACAGATTCAAAGTACTGTGCAAGAAAGGGGGATGCAAATAACGCATTGATTATTTCAGCCCTAACAAAAAGTAACATGTCTTTATAATTAAACCGGCTATGGAAAGAGGCTGGGAGCTTTTGCTGCCAGTCAGAAAACCCCTTGTGTTCCTAAACTACAAAGACAAAGAATCCGGAGCTGTATTGAGAAAGCGAGGGGAACGGTTAGACTAGAGGAAGTTGGCTGAATGCATGGAGGCAAGAAGCGATCTTTGCATTTGAGTTATGCCCACCTGTATGCTAAATGAGTGGAGAGCTCAGTGTGCAGCTAAGGGGGGAAGGGAGGGCAGGAGAAGGGATGCAGAGATCAGCTAATCTACCATATGCCTGCTGGAGCAAACGCTGCCAGCCCCCTTTCTGCAAGAGCCCTTTGTTTGTCGAGGAGAGAGCGTGTCCCATTCAATGCAGACTAGGAAAGGGGGGGGGGGGGCAGTTGTTTTCTGGGGGTGCCCTCATTTCAATAGTCCTGATGCAGAAAAAGCTCAAGCCTATTCCTATTGAAATAACAGTGCATAGGAAGAGTGTGCCAAAACCCATAGGGGTCGGGCTATCAGTAAACCTACGTCCTCCCCCAACCTGGAAAACTCCTAGCAACCGAGCAGCTGTAAAGGAGGTGAATGAGCACCAAATGCTGCTGTAAAGGAACTCGCACATTCGGTGGCAGATGTCTGCAAAGACTCGCCCAACTAAGAATTAAGAAAAAGGGCCACCCAAGATTAGCAGTCCAAGGATATGTTGACAAACTGGTCAATAAAAAAAAATAAAAAAAAAAGAGGACCTGCGTTCAGGTTTCCAGCAAACATAAAACATGTATTTGATAGGATTTGTTACAAACAATCTTAATACTAAACTTATAGCAAGTTAAGCTCGCGTGTCCATATCCCCTAATCTTCTTAGTAAAAAATGAGTGAGGCCATCTTCTTAAAGCCAACAGAAGAAACAATCCTACATTAGAAATAGTGCTTGGCTCAGCTGAGCCCAAGCGCAGGGTGGAGGTGAGGGGTGGGGGTGCCAGTGGGTTAAGCAGAGGGACAGAGCTTACAGGCTGATTGATTAGAACAGACATGATGAGGACATTGCAACTTACGTGTCCTCCATTTCAACAGAATCCATGGGACTCGGGGGATCCATGCCTAGGCCTGAAGATAGATACGTGTCAGATGGAGATAAGCACCAGGTGGTGCAGCACAGGATGGGAAACTAGTACCAACAACCAGCTGAATAACAATGAATGAGCAGTGCGGCTGGAGAACTTTGCCTATTCAGCCAGTTTAACAGGAACTTCACCAAATATTTGGATAATATTGTACACTAACTAACTAGACCAAAAAGGCAAAAAGGAGTGATGTGTCAGTGCAACTTTGCATAGAAATAAAGCATAAAGGGTTTTATTATTGATTAGTCTAATCTCTTGCTTCACCTAGATACCATCATGATTTATGGAAATAAGATGCAGATAAATTAACATTAGGCACAGAGGCATCAATTATAATAGTCTCAATTAGCACAGACAATAGCCTTTTTAGGAAGGGGGGGGGGGCTCACCAGCATCAGATGAGACGTCAGAAGCAAAGGAGGGAATCTTCTCGAGGGGTGCATGCTTTCTCCTTTTTGGTGTATCACATTGGCTGTGTGGGAAAAAGATAAACAAGGAAATCAATGATGTGCACAGTAAACCAGACTCAGGGTTAGGATAAATAGTGTTTTCTCATGGCTTGCAAAAAAATAAAAAGCAGCTGAGTTAGTTTGAGTACTAAAAGAAATAATATAACAAAACTTGAATAATACCTTCCGAGCACGACTAAATTGTTCATGTCCAGAGCCAAATTTGTGACAGGAGACAACACGGTCGCGGGTCCAGGGGAGAACAGGTCCCTGCAGTGCGTGGTTTTTGTGCTCAGCTCGGGCAGAGTGAGCGAGGAAAATCCGGGGATCCCATCGGGCCTTCTTTTCAAAACGGTGTTAACAGGACTGGTGCTGCCCAAAAAATTGACAGACTCCATTTTAGCGGTCCAATTTGTATAAGTCCTGCAGACGGTATTGCTCTGTAGTAGATTTAGTTTAAAATTTCGGGTCAAAAAGCGAGAATCAGCAAGACGGCCCAAACTTCGAGCTAACCCGGAAGCTAACCAGCTAGCAACAATTTAAGAAAACATTTCCGAAGATTTGATCCGAAACACCGTTTGGAAGAGACTTGGCAGTTCCGCGTGGAGTAAAACTTTGATTCAGTCCTGCTAAATGACTAAAGCAGCATAGTTGTTGTTCCTGTCAGAGAGCTGCAGCACAGCGTACTCCCTCTCTGACAGCCCCTGGTTTCTGAGAAAAGAGACTGGAGCTGCTCGTATTTATGTTCAAAATAGAAGCTCCAGAGCGGCAATCTTTCAGCCAATCAGCGCTGTTGTTATATCGACTTGACCAATCAGAGCTCGGAACGACTCTCCGCTGTTGTCCTCTCACCGGAAAAGGGAGAAGAAGAAGGATGTGACACAATCCCTCACAATGATGATCTTTATTCTCAGAAATCTTTTGTTCTCACTCTCAACTGTGGGCTCTCAATTTTATCCATAAATGCGCGAAAAAAAAGCCCATTTTAAAATTTGATAAACACTGTTATTTAAACATTTTATGGATTTAGAATCACTTGGTAGGATAGGAGATTTGGAAAAAAAAAATCTGCAAAACAAGACAAAGCTTTGCAAAATCTATCTTGGATTACGAAATGGCTGCCTTGCAAGTCTGTATGTCCACAAATAACAAAACAGTGGTAATTCATCCAAATTTGATAGATTGATAGATACACAGCTTTGTCCTCTCACATAGTCTCTCATCTTTGCATTTTGGTAAAGCACATTGCGACCTGACTGTGCTTGCATACCAACGGTAATATTTGCCTCCCACACAAAGTGACTCAGAAACCAGACCCACCAGTACACAGATTCTTCCCCTTCCTAAAATCATTTTAAATACATGAATGCTCATAACTGTGAAACACAGTATGGACATAGAGAATAGATGGTACAACTTCTTAGACTTAAAGATCAGCTGTAATGAATGCTTCTTGCTGTTTCTGAAAGTGTGTAGGATCTGTGTATGTGTGTGGTTTGCATGTATGAGTGAGTGTGAGAGTATGCAGAATTTAAAGTGGTTTTAATAATTTTTTCCTACACCAAACATCACTTCCTGTCTCTAGTGCTCAGAAAATGAACAAATTGCATCACAGAAACCAGTTAGAATAGAGCTCAAAAAGTGTCACAAATATGTTTTTCTTTAAAGAAGGAAACAAAACCAGCTACACTGCTTTTTCTCATATTAATTAATTTTAAGCAGTGCATCAATCCTATAAATTGCATGTATTTCAAAGAGTTTAGTGTGTATTTGTGAAATAAATTATAAAGTTTAAAAAGTGTTGGTTCCTGCTGGTCTCAACACAGGCACACATGAGATATCTTCTGGAATAGGCCTCAATGCCATGCTGTGTCACCTACAGGTTTCTTTTTCAGGACTCCATTTTGAAAGTTTAAATCACTACTTACTCGGCAAACAGGGACCAAAACTTTGTAAAGCCAAATACAACGTTGCTGACCAACAGACTTGCCAGTAACTAGTTCAACTAGACTGCTGAGCCAATCCAACTGACAAAACCAGACAAATGTTACCAGTATATATACCTCAGTATTCTGCCTGAGGTTCATGTGAGGTTTTTGTGCTTGTAGTTCTGCAACTTTTCCTGAAGTCCACCAGAAGTCCAGGTTTCTCATGCACAGTGTTGACTGTATTTACAATGTTGAATGAGTATAATGTGGGCTGTGTAATTTAGTGTGATATGTTATCAGGCAGGCAGCACCCATTTTAACAACAGTACTTTAGTATTCCAACGAGGTCTTTCAGTATCATTTTTAGCAAACCTGAAGTTGTAATCATGGGGGTGTACTGAACTTTGGCTTGAGAAAAAAACACTCGTTGTTCGGCTATAGTATCGGAATGATTGGCATCACAAATGTAAATGACGTTTAATGAACTTCCCTGGAGAGGTCCGAGCACAGGCCTGTGACTCCGTTCTCCCCACCCCACATATCAAAAGAAGAGACAAAAGAAGGGGAGAGAGACAGTGAGTCACCCCGAATAAAACCTCCTCAAACCCCCCGACACCTTCTGTTCCCACTGTCCCACCAAACTTGACTCCCCACTGCCAACCAATTTCCTCTTTACACAAGCTCACACCAACGGACACAAACACACACATAACAAGGGGACAAGATTCACAGTCTGTAGATGAACCAAAGATAATGATGCTAACATAAAATTCAAAACAAGTATCTGTATTGTCTACTCATTTTTCGATTACTTTAACTCTATTTCGTTATTTTGAGGAGTTAGTACATTACTCCAGGTCTTACTTCTCTTTGTCCCTTCATCCACTCTCTCATCATTGTGCTTTGCATTCCCAGGTTGATTGGCCATCTCTGTACATCTCTGTAAATCAGCTGAGTCATTGGTATATTATTTATAAAACCATTCCAGGCAAACTTAGTTGAATCTCTGCAAAAAAGCTTCAGAGTTGATCTTGCAATCATGACCTCATTTAAGGACAGAGACTGTAAAGATGTTTTATACTTCAGCCATATGGACTAGTCTGCAAAAGGAAATAAAAGTGAGGAACTTTATCATGTTGAATTCAGTAATATTAGAGCTGCAATGATTAGTAGATTATCAATTAGTTGATCAACAGAAAATCAATCAGTAACAATTCTGATAATGGATTTCTCATTAAACAAATTTTTTTAAAGGAAAGATTAAAGAAATTCTCTGGCTCCAGTTTCTCCGGTGTGAGAATAGTAAACTGAATGCATTTATATATTTCATCCCATCTACTAAATATATAATACACATACTTTATATCACAACTAACTATTTAACAAACGATGCATGTAATTCAAATATCTTCCGCCAATTGGTTTCCATTCATTTCTGTGCAATCACTGTGACCCTTGCGTCTACATTCAGTTTCGGTAAAAGTGAAACTGAATGCAGTGTTACTTTTTTAAGTCAAGCTGCCTTTAAAGTTCCTTGTTATGCTTTGATAATGTAACACTGAGAAAGATTAATGCAGACTTGATTTGCATTGTGATGGATTACATAACAATACATTTCTAATTGATTTTTTTGTTGTTGTACACAAATAAATGTAAATGTAACCTTTTAAACTTTAGTAAATGCTGTTATAAAATGCTCCATGGATAAAGTTTATTAGTGTTGTTTATTATTGTTAGGCCCAATCTTATCTCAATTATTCTCACATTGTGACTCACTTAAACAAACAGTGTGCGGCCATCTGTAGGCTGTTATTATGCTGGATTGTGGTAACCTGTAATTGGGACACTCATAATTGATTCTTCCTCACCAATGGCCTCTATACTTAAAAATCTGCACTGTTTTCAAACCCTCCATTTACAGCTGTGGGTAGCTACAGTGTAGCTACAAGGGAGGGAAGGTTTTACACACACATACAAAAACACACAAACAAACACCCTAGTTGGCCAGTAGAGTTTCGTAGGTGTGAAGAACCACTCTCAAGGTCACCTTTGTGAATGACAAATGGAATTTAACTACAGAAGCTGCAGATGTTTTGCGAACAGTGAAACAGAATTTGGTAGCCTGCTTGCCAGAAATAACTAGTACTCAGTGTCTTGCTCGAGTTACTTTCTTATTGTCAATATAGAAAATCTTTAGCTTTAGACCCCCATGTGACTTCAACTCTCCACTGAAACCAAGACTGATAAAAAATCTTTTCACATAAGTCATGTTATTTTAAGATAGAGCCCTATTATAGACATTCAGAAAAGAAAATCGTAGCTAAGTCAATACATAAAAATGTTAAAAATAATAAGATTTAACTTAAAGTTTTTCAGACAGAGTTTTTGCATCTCTTTTTGTGTAGGAAGAGGTAATAAAATCCTTTACCTAAGTGAAAGTAGCAATACTATAATACCACATTGTAAATACTACTCCGTTCCAAATAATAGTCAAGCACTCAAATGATTCATTAAGTAAAAATAAATAAGTATCATCAGCAGAATGTTTTAATTAAAGTAAGAACTCATGCTGCAGAAGGGCCCCTGTCAATTTTATATTACTCTATTTTCATTTGTTATGACAGATAAATTAACATGAAGCAGCTTTAAATGTTGTTGCTGGTTTGGAGGGAGACAATTTAACTATTCTATGTACTGATGGGCAGTTTAATCTCTAACAATGTACATATTTTTGATCATACATTTTGGATGTAAAATCTTCATCGGCAAGGTAACTTCTTTTCTTCTCAGTTACACAAATCTATGAGTTATAAACTATCATAAAATAGAAATACTCAAGTAAAGTAAGTAAGGTGTGAAGTAAAGTTAAATGTACCTTCCACCTCTAGGTAAGGGAGGGATCTTTTATCAACACAGGACAATTGACAGACAACCTAGTACAGGGTACTGCTTGGAGAATGGTCAACGAGCAGTTGACCGGACACTTACTTGTGCATTTGCATTTGTCTTATCTGGAAAGGTTTTGTTGGAGCAGCATTAACATTGACACATTAACATTGACACTAGTTCAAACAGGGCATTAACACAGACATAGCTACATTTACAGAGCACCCCGGCTGTCAAAGGAAAGATCGAGACAGTTTACCACCACAAACTGATGACACCATACTCGGGCTCATTAAAATCACAGGCGGCTCACAAGACTTCATTCCAATAGTGTGCAATTGTGTGTTTTCTCTGTGGGGTGATCACAGCTAGTTATGACCTTCTTTCTTCGACAAGAGCAAGTTATTGTGACCATTAGTGTCAGCCAAATAGTGGCTGACTCAATTCCAAATATATTGTCAAGTTTTGTAACAACATTTTTCAGACACCCTGCCACAGTTTGCGCAGGGAGCTAATCTTTATATTCCCACTGTAGAACCAGCACTGTGTAACCCAGTATGAGCGCTGTTATTCACAAAATGAAAGCCTAAACAAATCTGCAACCGTGTCACACAACAATCAAAGTTCGGCCCAGAAGTGCAGCAATAATTAAAGCCCTCTAACCGGCTTCATGTGATAATAAATAAGTAAATAGATACTCAACGCTTATCTTGAAAAATTTTTTACCTTAGGGAAACCAGAAATCCCATAATACTGAATTTCTGCAAAGGGACTGATAAAAAATCTTTTCACATAAGTCATGTTATTTTAAGATAGAGCCCTATTATAGACATTCAGAAAAGAAAATCGTAGCTAAGTCAATACATAAAAATGTTAAAATAATAAGATTTAA